ACAAGCTGCCATCGATCTTTTCATTAGGTGATCAAATAACAAACAAAGCAGGTGAAAGAGAAGAACGCTGAAATGCTTGCACGTCCCCAGCCCGGCGCCCTGCCGCTGCAGCTGGCCCTGGGACGTGAGGTGGGTGCCTGCCGTACCCGCGTGGGTCACCTCTGTGAGACACTCGCGTTATCTGGGGAGGGGAGCAGTAGAAATTCCCACACATGTTTCTATAGGGGGAAAGGGGAACGGAAGGGAGGAGGGAGAAAAAAATCTCGGACAGAATGAGGACTAGGCGCCTCTCACTCCTCCCAAATAACGGGATGCCCAAATACAATGACGCCAGGGGAGGAGGTGGCCCGGGGGGGGGCAGGATTGGGGAAGGTTTCCCTGCCAAGTGTCGCGGCCCCGCTCCCCTCCCTCTGCCCCGAAACCACGAGGAAGGAAGCGGCGACTTGCCTGGGGTGGCCCGGAGAGTCGAGGCCGTCGACAGGGTGCCCGGTCCGGGAGGAGCCGGGCTGCGGCTGCTGGGTCCGTCCACCTTCTCTCAGGCTTTCTGCCTCTGTCTGTGTCTGTGTCTCTGTCTCTCTCTCTCCCTCTCTCTCTCTCTCTCTCTCTCTCTCCCCCCCCGCTCCGTGCCTTGCTCTGCCTCTTTTACTCTCTTGTCTCTTCACAGTCTGGGGAGTAAAATCTAGATGATATACATACGAAGCTTGCTTTTTTGTCCTATTTAATCTTATTCGTTTCACCTTTTCACTGACCAAGAGACAGGACGGAGACTTTATTTGGAAAGAGCGAGAGAGAGGAAAGAAGCCTACTGTTGCATAGTCAATAACATCCTTTTTGTCAATGCAATATACAACAGAGACGGCTTGGCCAAGGGGCTCATTGAAAATCTCTTCATTATTTCGGGACAAAATCAAGCGTTTATTCTGATCCTAGAAATGATGAAGGAATCTTTTCTTCAGGCGGCTCCCAGCCTCAGATTTCAGAGTTGACAGGGAAAGAAAAAAAAATATTGTAATCACTATACATCAAAGTTGAGTGGCTTATTTTTTTTCCCCTTTACTTTTAATTAAAGCAACATCTCTTTACAAAAATAAGTAATAACAATAAAACTTCTGCCACCTATTTCATCCCCTTTCCTTCTGCAGGTTTTCTATCCAGCTTCTAATCTGATTATAAACTTTTATGGGAGCTATGAGAAGGGTATGGTGCCGAGTAGAGGGGCCTGGGGTGTTAGTTTTGGTGGTATTTTTTGTTGCGTGAGGGAAGTGTTCAGTTTTTACAGTCTGTTTCTTCTTTGTCACATGCAGTCTTCTGAACCCAAGGCAAATTTCAGGCCGCTGACAAAAGGGAAACTGCCGATAAGGCTGCCTTGTGAGGGAGACAGAAATTGAAAAGTGGGTTTTCTCCTCACTGCAGTTTTCTATTTAAAATTTAAAAAAAACCGGAAAGTACATTTTTTGGTAAAAATCGGGAGTGTGGTGGAAGGCCGCAGACAGGCGCGGAACCCCCCGCTTCCCTGGCTCCCCCGGGCCGGCGACTCCATGCCCACTAGATGGCAGCCGGAGCCAGCGATTCCGGCTCGCCGGAGCCGAGGCCGCGCCGGGCCGCGGAGGGGAGCGGAGGGGGAGAGACACCCCCCCACCCCCCCGCGCATCCCCCCTACCCGCGTGGAGCCGCTTACTTCGGGAGATCATGGGATCCCGGGGGAGGGGAGGACATTGCGTGCAGGGCTTTTGGGGGTTGTTCTGATTGCTCACACACCCCCAACATAAAATTAAAGGGTAGGGGTGAAACCCCCGCGAGAAGCGTGGAGCCCTGCGGGCCTGCGGGTGGACACGTTAGGTGAGGAATGAAGGGTGAGGGACGAAGGACAGGCTGAAAAAATAGCCTGAAGTGGGGTGGGAACATATGGGGATTTGAATATGTGTGTGGACTCTAGCGCGTGTGTGTGCAAGGGTGCACATATACGGGCGCCTGCCCCTCCGTGCAGAGCCAGTGTTTCCTTTTCCAACATTAAAACTCTTGGAATGGCTTTTGCAAAGGGAAAGCGGGAGACAAATCCCTATTTCAGATCTGTAGGGGGAAAAAAAGAAACAGAAAACCCCACACCAACTTTTCAGAAGGAGCCCACATCGTGCCCTTTTAATCGCACCTTTCTGCTTATCGCAATGCATCCTCCTGTGGCCGTGTGTGTGTTGGGCTGGGGGGGGGTAGAGGGGCCGTAGACGACCCATACTAATCAGGTCTCAAAGTAAATAGCAGCACAGGGGGATCTCAATGTAAATTGTGCTTGTCAGAAGAATCTCCTCTCCCTCTCTCTACCCTTCCTCCCTCCCTTTCTCCCTCCCTCCCTTCCTTCCCCCTCCCTTCTCCCCTCCCTTCCCCATCCCAGTCAGTAGGTAGCGGAGAATTTAAAAAAAAAATAAATAAATAAAAGAAAGAAAGAAAGAAAAAAAGAAAGAAAGAAAGAAAAAAAGAAAGAAAGAAAGAAAGAAAGAAAGAAAGAAAGAAAGAAAGATCCAAATCCTATTGCAGTATTCAACTTTAAGAGTGAAAATGTTGAAATAAAACATTTTGACACTTTCTGGAATTAAATGTTTTGAAACTTCCATTTGAAAATATTTAAAATGTTGCTGCAGTGAATCAGAAGAAAATTGTTCTGTTAGGGAAATTTTTGGCCAAAATT